TGGAAATTAGTATCTCATGGTGCTAACACCAAGTGTTGAAAATGCTATACTTTCTCCCCTGCACTGCAATAGTGCCTCTGTAGAAAACCTGTTCACTGTTTGTGTTTGGATCTTCTATGGAACCTCTTTTGTGTTCCAGTCATCTGGCTTTCTGTATGACAGCAGCACACTTTAGATTAGTATAAATTATAACACTTAAAAATCATCCCTTTGATTTTATTATTTTTTCAGAGTTATTTTGGCTATCCTAATTCTTTGCATTTTCTATGCACTTATATCAGCTTGTTACTTTAAAAATAACCAGGTTGCTAAATGAAAGATCTCTGTGAGTGAGATCCCAGCAGAAAGAAATGGGCCCATCAAAGGAGATACCATTCTCTGAAGGGAGGAGAGAACTTCCCTATGATTATGGCCTTATCTAAATAAGACCAGAATTTGTGAACTCAAGAGGATTCCATAGCCTTGGCCAGCTTGAGATAAGAGCCTTGGGTGATTACTGACATCATAATAAGACTGTCAATTGTAAATCAACAATGGGAATCACTGTGCACCTGCTTCCCATGTAGGATCTCTGTCCTCATGTGTTGTACTATGTGAATTAATGGTAAAACTACTACTCAGGCTGGTGCCATGGCTCACTGGGCTGATCCTCTGCCTGTGGCACCAGCACACTGGGTTCTAGTCTCGAGGTGGGGTGCCGGTTCTGTCCCAGTTGCTCCTCTTCCAGTCCAGCTCTCTGCTGGTCCCAGGAAGGCAGTGGAGGATGCCAGGTGCTTGGGCCCTGCACCCGCATGGGAGACCAGGAGGAAGCACCTGGCTCCTGGCTTGGATTGCAGCAGTGCACTGGCTGTAGTGGTCATTTGGGGGTAAACCAATGGAAGGAAGTCCTTTCTCTCTGTCTCTCTCTTTCTCACTGTCTTACTCTGCCTGTCCAAAATCAGGCAGACTTTATCGTTTTTTTTTTTTTTTTAACGATTTTATTTATTTATTTGACAGGTAGAGTTACAGACAGAGAAAAAGAGAGACAGATAGAAAGATCTTCCATCTGCTGGTCACTCCCCAGATGGCCAGAACTGGGCCAATCCAAGCCAGGAACTTCTTTCCGAGTCTCCCACCTGGGTGCAGGGGGCCCAAGGACTTGGGCCATCTTCCACTGCTTTCCCAGGCCAAAGGAGAGAGCTGGATGAGAAGTGCAGCAGCAGGGACTCAAACTGGAGCCCACATGGGATTACAGCACTGTAGGCAGAGGCTTAGGCCACTACACCACAGTGCCAGGTCCCAGACTTTATCTTGAAACTTAACTTTACTCTGACTGAAGTTATCCCATCTCACAGATATTCATCTGCATGTTCAGGCTGTTGAAACAAGATGTCGGTGTAAAATGCTAATGGACCACGTGATTGTGAGCTCATTTCCTTTAGCAATAAAATTTTTGTATGATATGTTATGCCCACTTAGATTGTCCCCAAAGACACCAATGGGCCTATACCATTGTAAAACACATGAGTTTTATTGCAGGTCTGGGCTTGGGCGATCAACTATCACTGATGCCATGGGTCTGGTTGAAAGTCCCAACTTCAGTGAAGGGGGTTTTTATAGGGTTTTCAGAGACAATCTATACATTCTAGCACCATTCAGCAAATCATCTCATTCCACGGGAAATTCAAAGAACATCTCATAAAATTTATTAGTGCATCCAGCGGCAGGAATGGACCTATTAAAGATGGTGGGATGGCTTTTGGGGTTGATGCCTTTTAAAATGATTGGCTAAGGTATAGGGTCTGAGCCACTAGGGCATATGTGCCAAACTGCAGGGTCTCAGGATATTATCAATTACCTTAAGTGCCTGAAAAGACACCTGAAACTTTAGGTATCTCCCTGCTATCTGATGATTGGCTGTTGCTAGGCGGGGTTTATTGCAAGGGGAGTTCATTTATTTTTTCTTTCATGAGCTTCAGGGTTCAGGGCTGGTCAGGCCTGAGTTACAAGATGGAGGCCTATTCTAAAATAGCTGCACCTTGATCCAGGCTCAGGTTTCTCAGAGATACAACACAGTTTACTCGTACATTCACCTATTGAAGAATATCCTGTTTCAAAATTTAGTTTGATTTTTATATTATTGCTCATGTGGAAATTTGATTTCTTCAATCATTGCAGTTGGATAATGTTTGCATTTTGGATTAGTCCAGATGTATTCTTCCTCTTAGTCTTTTGAAAACTGTGTAGAATTACATTGGTTTTTCCCACTTTTTCTCTAGTTTTATTGATGTCTTCATCCTGTCACAATGAAATTGATTATGAAAACAGGCTGGTGTTCAGACATCAGGACAGACAAGTGCTTTTGGGAGCTTGGCTCAGGGGCAGTGGTGTGGCTTCTTTATGTTGACACTATCCTTGCTGACAGAGGCCATGCCATGCACTGAGCAGTGCTGTGGGGGCCTGCTTGGCATGTCTGAGATTAATTTTAGGCAGCCAAGGCATGAGCCACGTTTTGCATGGAGCTAAGGCCTCACAGCCAGCATGATTCATGTAGTAACCAGTCCTGAAGTGAGCAATCCTTTGCCAGCAACAGGAAGTCCACAGAGGCACACTCACTGTCCTCTGTGAGACATGGGGAACTCCTGGCCACACTGCCATGGGTCCTTGCCCCTTGTAGAGACTCCAGCTCCAGGCTCCACCTCTGTCACTGTGGGACTGTCCTTGTTCTCTGCAGTGATGCTGGCAACCCAGTTTCCTGTAACAGAGAATGGGGAGCCATGCCGGGGTCATGCTGAGGTCAAGGTGGTCAAAGTCAGAGGGGCCTCTGGGTCCATACAGAAGGTGCTGCAGATCCTCAGGCTAAGTTTTACTGATTTCAAGTACAAATGATCTATGACCTGACCAGAGTCACTCCATTTTGTCCCTGATTGTCCTGTATTTTTTTCTAACCAGTCCCACAACTGCTAGCTACTCAAAAACTAATCTTCTGAGAGGTTTTCTGTAAGTTTATTTACATTAAGTACTGGGAAACTTGTAATATCCCCAAGATAAGCATAATGTTGCTTGCTCTAGCTCCTGTAACAAATGCTTGGCTTTGTAATTAACTTCAACAAGATATGTTTTTGGCCTTTAGAAGCTTAACCTTGAGCTCCTTCAGGGCAGTATGATTTGGAGAGCACACGCCCCTGTGCAGCCACTGGCTTTTAGAAATAAAATACTCCATAATTAGGCCCTGAGACTTCAGCACTTATTAATATTTCTGAAATTAATAATCTGTGTGGGTTCTTGCCATGAATTCAGAGACAAATTCTGAATACTGGCTCAAATAGACCAGATGATATGCTGAGTTTTTAAGCTTTTATTCAGTGAGAGAAACACATAGGAGAGTGAGGGCTCTATCTAAAGGAGAAAGGAAAGTCTGGAAATTAAGTAGGGGCCATACCAAGCAGGGAGCAGGCCAAGAGCTGTGGACTTGTCCTGTGAGGCCCACACCATTGGGGAGGGTGAGGCAATGGTGTTCTTCCACAGGAAGCACCAGGGACAGGCTTCAGTGAACATGTCCACCTTTATTAATGACCATGTACACTTTCAAAGGGCAGGCAGAAGGGGCATAACTAATTCAGGGCAACCCTAACTCTATAGGATAGAACCAACACTGGCACCAATATGCATCTCCAATTAGCTTGAAGGTCTCATAGTTAGGGCAGCTTTCCAGGTGGGCCTGGAGCACCCCCAGCAACAGTTTACCTAATTGGCAGAAGGTGGGGGTGGGAGAAAATGTGCCTGAGGCTTCCCACCTCCCACCATCAGTCAGGCTAGCCACATGGGCTAGGCAGAAAGTCTCACAGGATCACCCACATCTCCCCCCTTTGTTTTAGGGCAAGTGTGACTGCTTAGTGTGGCACAGCAACAAGCTGCAGCCCACAATAAGCTTTAAATTAAATTGAAGAATGCCTAGCATGGGGATTAAGGGCAGGGAGTGTGGGGAGCAATCCGGACTAGACTAAGTTACTCGAATTAAGACTTATTCTATGCATCTGCTCTCCCACAATATGGCGCTGGGAGAGAAGTAAACAGCTTCCGCACAGCTGCCTCCAGTTCAACTAATAAATTGTAGGACTTGCTCCTGATTGGAGAGCAGCGTACTCGGCGTGTGGGCAGCCGAGTTAGGATTGGCGGAGGAGGACTATAAAGGAGGAGAGAGACGGCATGCACCAGGAACATCTAAGGGGAACATCTAGCTGAAGGAACACCTGTGCAGCCCCCGAGAAGAGCCGGCCGGCGGTGTGCCGCTCCCCTGCGGAAGTGGGGAATGTGGCCAGGGGGAACTGCCCTTCCACGGAGGTGGAAGGGATAGTAGCCAACCCGGGAAGAACCAGCAGTAAACCCGGGGAGGGCCGAGCAGACGAAAGAACAGCGCAGGGTCCTGTGTTGCTCCTCCACGAAGAGGGGGAGCGACAGGGAGGAAAAGAAGGGCAAAGGGAAAAAGGCCAGGCCCACCATGTTTCAGGCCTTTGTAATTGGCAGGCGGTGCACAGGTATGGGAAAGCAGGGGCATGAGATCACATGGGGGCTGGGTACAGTGTGATGAAGGCATAGCCTTCCAGTTCTCAAGTCTAATGATATATGACTGCCTGCATCATCCCCCCTTCAGAGACTCCATTCCCTTAATCCTAGGGATGTTGAAGGGTGTAGAATCATCACATCTTCTATAGCTGCTTCCTGTTTATGAGGGATGTAGTGCAGGCCCTGCCTGTCCTCAGTCTGGAAGTCTCTGCCTATCTCATCTAACAAATTCTCTTTGTGAGCTGGAGCAATCTTGGTCACCACCAATGTCTGTGTCCCCTGCATGGTCAGTGACTCCCAGAAGTTGTTGAGTTCTGCAACATATAAGTTTGTAAATACATATGAGCAAAACTGGAACATGACCAATTGTAACTGGAGTACCCCTTTAAGATGAAAAGACCACATCCTACAGACTCCCAGATAGTGGGTGGTGATACATTATAAACACATTTAGCTTGAGTATAGAGAATTATATTAGAAGAACACATTAGGAGTTTTATTGTTGATAACAGAGAGAATCAAAGAGGCAGGTACACCATGCCTGCCTTCAGGCACAGCACTCTTGATGTGAGGAAAGCAAAGGCTTTACTTTTCTTTTTGCTTAAGATCTCTGGCTTACAGGAATAATCAGGCATGTCTTTTGAGTACACCTGTGAGGACTTGAGAGGTAGACATTAATCCTAATTTTACTGAGGTAGTCATGTTCAGTAGCACCTGGTAAGGTCCCTTCCATTTAAGCTGTAGCCCATCTGAAGAGGATCTTTTTATGAATGGCTTGTTCAGGGAAAGGTGCTGAAGTTGGTTTGTAGAGGGTCAGCTTTCAGAGACTGGGTCCAGGGTTTGGCATTTCAGGTTGCTATCCACACAGGCTGCAGAGTGATCTCTGGAAAGCACAAGCAAAACCTTTGCCCATCATTATGAGAGGATCAGGCCCCTTCCATTGTTGGGTGGTTGGGTCCCTCCATCAAACCAGAGGCAATTGGGTTGCACCTGTGAAAGGTCTCCAGTGTCTCACTGCTGGTGGCTCTCCAGGGGGTGAGACCTGTAAGAACTTTACGGTGAAAGGAGCAAAGTTAATACACTCATAGTGGGGGTACCGTACTCTCCCCTCTGTTTTTTAAGCATAGTCTTATGGTCCTGCATGGGAAGTTAATGCACAGTGACTCCTATGGTTAATTTCACAATTCACACTCTTTTGTGTGCTGTCAGTGATCACCCAAGGCTCTTGACATGAACTGTCTAGGCTATGGAAGCCTTCTGAATCCACAAAATCCATCAATATTAGAGAAGGCCATAAGCAAAGTGAAAGTTCTCCCTTTGAAGAGAGTACATCCTTCTTTGATGACCACTTCTTTCCACAGGAGTCTCACCCAGGGAGACTCTCCATGTAGGCACACCTTTTTGCACAAGTGTCCTGACTTTCCATGCCTGAAATGCTCTTGTGGGCTTTTTAGCCAGACCAGAATGCCTTTAGGGATGACTCTGAGGTCATTGAGCGTTACTTAGAGCAATTGCCATTCTATGAGTCTGCTGTATGGACTGCTTCCCATGTTCAAGCATTTACTACTCTTTAATTCTGTTGATATGATCACTTTAACAGTGCCTCCTACATGATCAACTTAAAACTTAATGCAATCAAATACAGTCACTTTTAAACTTAAACATATATATATATATATATAAATGTTAAAACTTAAGATGTCACTTTCACCATCTAGCCCAAGGGTCAGATTTGATCAAATCATAACTCCTTTAAAACTCAGTTGTTTTAAACAATTAGAACTTAAGAGGCAGTAAGAGAACATAGTAGATTACTTTAAAATAACACAGAATCTGTCCCTTTGGTTGTTGAAAAGTCAGAAATAAAACCTTAAATTTAAGGCCTGGTGCATTGAATCAAATCCCATAATTTGGAACAGTTTTAAGAGTCAGAACTAGGGAAGAAAGAATAGCACCCGCATGGGAGACCAGGAGGAAGCACCTGGCTCCTGGTTTCAGATCAGCGCAGCATGCTGGCTGCAGTGCACCAGCCGTAGTGGCCATTTGGGGGGTGAACCAATGGAAGGAAGACTTTCTCTCTGTCTCTGTCTCTCTCTCTCTCACTGCCTAACTCTGCCTGTCAAAAAAAAAAAAAATCAACAAATGACAAAACTGATGAGGATGTGGAAAAGTTACGCTGGTCCACTGCTGGTGGGAATGTAAACTGATGCAAGCCACTGTGAAAAACTGTATGGAGATATCTTACAATTCTGATTATAGGCCTACCATTTGATCTAGCCATCCCACTCCATGGAATTTACCTAAACGAAATTAGCATATGCAAGAGTTATCTATAACCCCATGTTCATTGCAGCACAATTCACAATAGCTGAGATCTGGGAACAATCCAGATATCAATTGTTGACTTGATAAGAAAATTATGGTATATACACACTATGGCGTACTATGCAGTTATTAAAAAAGAAAGAAAGAAAAAGAAACCCTGTCTTTTGCAACAAGATAGATGAAGCTGGAAACCATTATACTTAGTAAAATAAACAAGTCTCCAAAAGACAGATATCCTATATTTTCCCTGATCTGAGGTAGCTAATAGAGTACCTAAAATGTAATGTATTGGAGTTAGATACACATTTTGAGATTTGATGATTGTTTAGAGTCCTTGTCTCTTCCATTGAGTAACAGTGATTTTTTTAAATTCATTTTTTTTCTTCATACTATTTGCTGACTTGTTGAACTCTTACTTAGTGTAGGGTTAACTATACAATCATTAAGTAAACTGAAAACAGATTTTGTAAAAGTTAAGTGGGAATGTGAGAGGGAAGAGGAGAAAGGGTTGGACTGTGTGTGGGAGGGAGGGTATCAGGGGAAGTGTCACTTACATTCATTAGTCTGTATATATGAAATATATCAAACTTATCTTAAATAAAATTTTAAAAGGAAGTAAATATTTAAAATTCAAAATATTTATACCAGTAACAAGGAGAATTTTAAAGGTGTTTATATATATAATATATATGTGTGTGTGTTTACTTTATGACAATATAAATGTACATATATATAATTTGTAATATAAATATATAGAGCAACCTTTTGAAATTTTATAATGTATTTATCATCAGAAAAGAATAGCTCAGCTTTCTGTAATAATCCAGTTTCTGATCATTACAAGAATGAAGAGTAAGCCACCAAGTTGTAGCTCATAATCTCTGTTTCTCTGTGTCTCCAAGTCTACCAACCTCTAAAATTAAATAAACATACCTAATTCAGGGATAAAAATCACATTAAGATCCCACTATTTTCCCGCATAATTTTCAGGAAATATACTAGTATCTAGACACACAGTGGCAAATTTATCTATGTATAAAATATATATATGTTATATATGTTACATATATTCATATATATATATATATATATTACATTGAGGAGAAAGAATTATTACTCTTGGCTAAAATGGCCCTGAGACACTGTGTACCTCATAGTTTCCAGGGCAACTTACAGAATGTTGGGGATGATGATGATCTTACAATAAAAGTGAAATCACCATGGCCATGGTACATGACTTTTCTATGCACATATGTTTTCTCATTTTGGAGTCTCTTCATGTGAATTGATTAATGGCAGAAAAATTTTTTCACATTCATTAAATTGACATTTTACTGTATGAATTCTCTGATGTTAGTTGATGTTTAATTTCTTGTTTTTTTTTTTTTAAATATTTTTATTTATTTGACAGGTAGAGTTACAGACAGTGAGAGGGACAGAGATAAAGGTCTTCCTTCTGTTGTTTCACTCCTCAAATGGCCGCAATGGCCAGACTGCACTGATCTGAAGCCAGGAGCCAGGTGCTTCTTCCTGGTCTTCCATGTGGGTGCAGAGGCCCAAGCACTTGGGCTGTCTTCTACTGCTTTCCCAGGCCACAGTAAAGAGCTGGATTGAAGACGGGCAGCTGGGACTAGAACTGGCACCTATATGGATGCCAGCATAGGTGGAGGATCAACCTATTGCTCCATGGTGCCAGCCTGATGTTTAATTTCTGGCTATGGTTTTTTGAGATCTGTTGCACTTGAAGGATATCACCTTTTTGAGTTGCATATTTATGCAAGCCTGAATTCTATGAAAATATACTTCCACATTCATTACACTGCTAAGAAACCCCTTGGGTGAATTTTCTGATGTATAATGCCATTTCTGACAAATGGCTTTTTGTCACACTAATAATATTTCTGAACTTCTTTTTTTAACAATTTATTTTTTTTATTTGAAAGACAGAGTTAGAGAGAGACAGAGAAGCAGAAAGAGGTCTTCCATCTGCTACTTCACTCCCCAGATGGATGCAATGGCTGGAGCTGCAGCGATCCAAAGCCAGGAGTCAGGAGCTTCTTCTGGGTCTCCCATGTGGGTGCAGGGCCATCTTCTACTGCTTTCCCAGGCCATAGCAGAGAGCTGGATCAGAAGAGGAGCAACCGGGACTAGAACCAGTGCCCACATGGTATGCCAGCATTTCAGGCCAGGGCTTTAACCTACTGTGCCACAGCGCTGGCCCCAACCTTTCTTCCTTATGGGAGTGCCTATTGTATGGGATGTAATTTCCAGCAAAAGGCTCTGTCACATGGTTATGTTGATTTTACAAAAAGTCCTTCATATTTACTATATTCTTAAGTTCTCTCCCTTGTTTGATCTACATGTTATGAGGTATTCCTTCTGACAAAAGGCTTTCCCACATTTATTACAAGATTTCCACCATGTAATAAATTCTCTGATGTTATATTGTGTGATTTTGGCAGAGTTTTCCAACATTCATTCCATTCATAAGGTTTCTCCCCCATGTGAATTCTGATGTTTTATGAGGTGTTACTTATGGATAAAGGCTTTTCCATATGCATTACACCCAAAGTGTTTTCCCCCATATGAATTAGATGATGTGCAATGAGGGCTGAATTATGGGGAAAAGCTTTCCAAGTCATTATGTCCAAAAGGTTTCTCTTCATGTGCATTTTCTGATGCATTCTGAGATGTGACTTATTGCCAAGGGCTCTTCCACAGTCATTGCATTCATGAAGTTTCTCCCTGGTGTGAATTCTCTGGTGTGATATGAGCTATGATTAATAACATATAATTTATAAAGGCTTTTCCACACTTACTAGATTCATAAGGTTTCTGCCCTGTGTGAACTGTTTTGATATGAGTATAACTTATAGAAAAAGGCTTTTCTGCAGTCATTACATTTATAAGGTTATTTCCCTGTGTGAATCCTCTGAAGAATTTGGAGTTGGAGATTAAGTTTTTCCAGTCATTACACTCATGAAATTTCAATACTGTGTGCATTCTCTGGTGCATTCAGGTTTGACTTTTGTCCAAAGGCTTTTCCAGTCATTACATTCATAAGGTTTCTGCCCTGTATGAATTCTCTGATGCATGATGAAGGTTGACTTATGGCTAAATGCTTTCCACAGTTATTACAATCGAGTTTTCTACCCTGTGTGCATTCTCTGGTGCATTCAGGTTTGACTTTTGTCCAAAGGCTTTTCCACAGTCATTACATTCATGAAGTTTCTGCCCTGTGTGAATTCTCTAATGTAATATGAGGCATGACTTGTGTCCAAAGGCTGTTCTACAGTCATTACATTTATGAGGTTTCTCCCCTGTGTGAATTTGCTGGTGTATGAGGAGGTCTGACTTTTGTCCAAAGGCTTTTCCACAGTCATTACATTATAAGGTTTCTCCCCTGTGTGAATTTGCTGATGCATGATGAGGTTTGACTTTTGTCCAAAGGCTTTTCCACAGTCATTACATTTATAAGGTTTCTCCCCTGTATGAATTCGCTGGTGCACGATGAGGTGTGTCTTTTGTCCAAAGGCTTTTCCACAGTCATTACATTTATGAGGTTTATGAGGTTTCTCTCCTGTGTGAATTCGCTGATGTTTCCTGAGGCCTGATTTGTGTCCAAAGGCTTTTCCACAGTCATTACATTTATAAGGTTTCTCCCCTGTGTGAATTTGCTGGTGTATGATGAGGTGTGACTTTCGTCCAAAAGCTTTTCCACAGTCATTACATTCATGAGGTTTCTCCCCTGTGTGAGTTCGCTGGTGTATGAGGAGCTTTGACTTTTGTCCAAAGGTTTTTTCCACAGTCATTACATTTATGAGGTTTCTCCCCTGTGTGAATTCGCTGATGCTTGATGAGGTTTGACTTTTGTGTAAAGGCTTTTCCACAGTCACTACATTCATGAGGTTTCTCCCCTGTATGAATTCGCTGGTGTATGAGGAGCTCTGACTTTTGTCCAAAGGCTTTTCCACAGTCATTACATTTATGAGGTTTCTCCCCTGTGTGAATTCGCTGATGTTTCCTGAGGCCTGACTTGTGTCCAAAGGCTTTTCCACAGTCATTACATTTATAAGGCTTCTCCCCTGTGTGAATTTGCTGGTGTATGATGAGGTGTGACTTTTGTCCAAAAGCTTTTCCACAGTCATTACATTCATGAGGTTTCTCCCCTGTGTGAATTCGCTGGTGTATGATGAGGTTTGACTTTTCTCCAAAGGCTTTTCCACAGTCATTACATTTATGAAGTTTCTCTCCTGTGTGATTTCGCCGATGTATGAGGAGGTGTGTCTTTTGTCCAAAGGCTTTTCCACAGTCATTACATTTATGAGGTTTCTCCCCTGTGTGAATTCGCTGGTGTTTCATGAGGTCTGACTTTTGTCCAAAGGCTTTTCCACAGTCATTACATTTATGAGGTTTCTCTCCTGTGTGAATTCGCTGATGTTTCCTGAGGCCTGACTTTTGTCCAAAGGCTTTTCCACAGTCATTACATTTATGAGGTTTCTCTCCTGTGTGAATTCGCTGATGTTTCCTGAGGCCTGACTTGTGTCCAAAGGCTTTTCCACAGTCATTACATTTATAAGGTTTCTCCCCTGTGTGAATTTGCTGGTGTATGATGAGGATTGACTTTCGTCCAAAAGCTTTTCCACAGTCATTACATTCATGAGGTTTCTCCCCTGTGTGAATTCGCTGATGTATGAGGAGGGATGACTTTCGTGCAAAGGCTTTTCCACAGTCATTACATTTATGAGGTTTCTCCCCTGTGTGAATTCTCTGGTGTTCTATGAGGTCTGACTTCCACAGAAAGCCTTTTCCACATTCAAGGCATTTATAAAGTTTCTCTCCTGTGTGAATTCGCTGATGGTTTATGAGGTATGACTTTTGTGTAAAGGCTTTTCCACAGTCACTACATTCATGAGGTTTCTCCCCTGTGTGAATTTGCTGATGTTTCCTGAGGACTGACTTTTGTCTAAAGGCTTTTCCACAGTCACTACACTCATGAGGTTTCTCCCCTGTGTGAATTTGCTGATGTTTCCTGAGGACTGACTTTTGTCTAAAGGCTTTTCCACAGTCATTACATTCAGAAGGTGAATTAAAACTGAGTGATTTTCCACAAGGTTTACATGTGTAAAGTTTTTCCCTTGTATTTAGTCTCTGGTTTATTGCAAGATGTGACTGGTGAATGACAGGTTCAACATACATAATGTACTTATAAAATTTCTTTCTTGTGTGAGTTTGTTGATGCATATTGAGGCTAGAATTTTCATGGATAGCTTTTTCTATTTGCGTTGCTTTTCCAAAAGTGACAGTTGACTTATTACAGTTTTCTGCCATATGAACCCTCTCAGATTTACAGAACATCTTTCTTGTGAAGACTTTTGCTTGTCCAGTGGGTCCAAATGGCTGCTTCATGATGTGAATATTGTCAAGCTGGCTAAGAGGCTCACAGAACTGGAGAGATTTTCCAGGTATCTTAGTGTTATCAAATTTCTCTCCAGCCTGTAGTTGATCAGGCCCACTTGGGGGATACACAGTGTGACATTTATTGCATTCCTCAGGCTTCAATCCTGAATAGATTCCCTTTTTAATAATCAGTGTTGGAACATGGCTTGAATTTAAACTAAGTGTTTTTCTTAATTCAATTCCCTTGAGAGCTGATGTCTTGTTATTTTTCATAAAATCCTGATTCAGATTTTTGTCCTGACTTTCCTGGTTGATCCTAATCAGGTCATCCCTTTTCATGACCACTGAAATGAGAAAAAAGCAATCATGTCACTGAATCACATGTAACTGTTTCTCCTGACATACTCATGTAAAGGGAATGAAGTTACTTGTAATCCAAGTGTCATAAGATGTTCACAAAATCAGTATGAGGTACTTATTTGTGACCATTATATGGTTTTCCTCCTTAATACATTAATATACCATGAGGTTTCCCAATGTTCAAACATGATCCTTTTTACTATGGGAATTTGTCAAGGATGGTAGAATGACTTTTGTGCTATGATGTGTGGGATGCCTGCATCTCAAAACAGTGTCGGTTTGAGCCCTGGCTACTCTGCTTTCAGTACAGCTCTCTGCCTATGTAAACTGGAAGGAACCAGATAATGGTTCATGTGCCTGGGAACCTGTGAGAAACCAGGGAAGACTAGAGGGATTCTAGAGTTTTGGCTCCAGACTAGTTAGACCTAAGTGTTGCAGGCATCTGGGAAGTGAGCTAATAGAGGACCTCTTTCTCTCTCTCTCTTCTCTCACTATCACTCTGCCTTTCACAAAGATGAAATAGCTATAAAATATTTTAAAGAATGGGCAAATATTTAATAAAAATATTCACCCACTACCTAGCAACCATTTTTTCCCTGTGCTTTTTCTCCAGTTTATTTTTATAAAAATTGTGTGCTTTTTGCTTCTCTGATATCTCAACCATAAACATGAAAAGGTTGTACTGATCATTTACTTGCAGGTGGAGAAGAGTGAAATGTGCCTGTACTTTAAGCAGGACAACATTTAAGGAGTAGGATTTGAATCTATGAGTGTCTCATGCTCAGTCTTCCTAGGTAAACATCATTTGTGGGATTTTTCAAATGAAAAACGACTTTGTCTCTACTCTATGACAGCTTCCCCAAATTCCTAAGGACACCCAACACCTTCAGCTTCTCAGAAGTACAACAGGTACAGAAAATTCCCAATATACCACTTTAGTTAAACACTCCCAATCAATTTGAAGAATTTGTTTCTGCAAACCGGAATGTGCTCATCTTCTTTGAAAAGTGTTTTCTAACACATTCTGAAATCATCAGTACTGGTTACCTCCTTTAAATTCTTTCTAGAAATATTCCTGTGTGATAATTTGAATTTCTGGAGGCTTTTGATCAGTTGCCTCCTATTTTCACTGAAAGCTTCATTTCCTATGCTTTTCTTATCTTTTTATTGGCTTATTTTCAATGATACTGAAAATAAGAGAGAAATCATACTTCAAACTCCACCCTTAAAGAAATCTGGCTACTTGACCTTGGGTCTCAAAATCTCATTATTTTCTTGGTGAGTCCAGGATCACTTATTTTCATGTTTTATGTAAGTTAATGCTTAGTTTAGGATTTCTTTTTTTCAAAGATTTACTTTATTTGAAAGCTAGAATTATAGAGAGAGAGACAGAGAGAAGTCTTCCATCTGCTGGTTCACTACCCATATGGGCACAACAACCAATGCTGGGCCAAAATGAAGTTAGGAGCCAGAGTGTCTTTCTTGTCTCCCACATGGGTACAGGGGGCCAAAGACTTGGGCCAACCTCTGCTCTTTTCTCAGGTGCATTAGCAGAGAGCTGGATTAGAAGGGGGCCAGCTGGGACTTGAACTGGCACCCATATGCAATGCTAGTGTTGCAGGCTGGAGCTTTAACACACTGCACCACAGTGTCATTCCTAGCTTCATAATTTCTGATGTCACAGCACAGAGGCTTACTCATGACCATCTTTTATTTTTAAAGATTTATTTATTTATTTATTTATTTGAAAGTCAGAGTTACACAGAGAGAGGAGAGGCAAAGAGAGAGTAAGGTCTTCCAACCAATGGTTCACTCCCCAGTTGGCCACAATGGCCAGAACTGTGCTGATCTGGAGCCAGGAGCCAGGAGCTGCTTCTGGGTCTCCCTCAGGTGCAGGGGACCAAGGACTTGGACCATCTTCTACTGCTTTCCCAGGCCATAGCCAAGAGCTAGATCAGAAGTGGAGCAACTGGGTCCCAAACTGCTGCCCATATAGGATGCTGGTGCTTCATGCTGGGGTGTTAATTCACTGTGCCACAGCGCCAGACACATGACCATCTTTTAGCATTTACTTATTTACTTACTTGAGAGTCAGAGAGACAGAATGAGAGATAAAGACAGACTGAACAGAGGTTTGCCAACTGTAGGCTCACTCTTCAAATGTTTCCAACAGACTATAAGTTTCTTATTTATTTGAGAGGCACAGAGGAAAAAAAAGAAAGAGACTAAGAAAGAGAGAGTTCACATTTATTGATTCAGTCCTGAGCAAGTTCGATGCCTGGGCAAAATCATGAGGGGGAACGCAATCTGAGCAATGAGTTAGAAATAAGTTTCTGGGGGCTGGCATTGTGGCATAGCAGGTAAAGCCACCACCTGCAGTGCCAACATCACTTATGGGCACCAGTTTAAGTCCTAGGTGCTCCACTTCTGATCCAGCACTCTGCTATGGCCTGGGAAAGCAGTAGAAGATGGCCCAAGTCCTTGGACACCTATACTCATATGGGAGACCTGGAAGAAGCTCCTGGCTCCTAGCTTCAGATCAGTACAGCTCCAGCCATGACAGCCAATTGGGAAGTGAACCAGTGGATGGAAGACCTCTCTTTCTCTCTCTGCCTCTCCTTCTTCTCTCTCTCTGACTTTCAAATAAATAAATAAATCTTAAAAAAAAAACAGAAACAGGCTGCCGTGGCGGCTCAATAGGCTAATCCTCTGCCTGCGGCACCAGCACACCAGGTTCTAGTCTCGGTCGGGGTGCTGGATTTTGTCCCAGTTGCCCCTCTTCCAGGCCAGCTCTCTGCTGTGGCCCAGGAGTGCAGTGGAGGATGGCCCAGGTCCTTGGGCCCTGCATCCGCATGGGAGACCAGGAGAAGCACCTGGCTCCTGGCTTTGGATCAGCGTGGTGTGCCAGCCACAGCACACTGGCCATGGTGGCCATTGGAGGGTGAACCAATGGCAAAAGTAAGACCTTTCTCTCTGTCTCTTTCTTTCACTGTCCACTCTGCCTGTCAAAAAAAAAAAAAAAAAAAAACAGAAAAATTAATCTTAAAAAAAATTAGTTTCTGTATGTTACCTAATTAACAAGCACTGAAGGAACTAATAAGTGCATGAAGGGAAAGGTATGAAAGTGTAGAGAAGGACAAGTTAGAATTGGGGGAATGTATCAAACCTAGATAAAAGCCTTAGTAACATCAGAAAATGACTGGATTTTTTTTTTTTAATCAAAGAACATCTTCACTAAGAACAAAAGTTAGGAAGATACTGGTATCTCTAAATGCCTGTGTCTGATGCACAAAAGCAGCTATCATCAGGAGTAAGGCTTGAGAAAAATTCATGGAAAGAACACCAGTCAACATCTGCACACTTTCTGCCTTGGCCTCCCTGTCTCTTATGTGCAGACTGACCAGAAAGGCTCTGATTCAAGCATTCATCCACCATCCATGGCTCTTCTCCTCGCTCCAACTTGAAGATCAAGTCAGGTTTGGTAATGCAGTGCCCTATTAATGGAAACAGAGTGAGACTTTGTAAAATCACTATCTTGGATTATTTAAAGGACTACAGCTTGGTTCAGGAGCTATGCAACAAATGTTCCAATCTGAATCTTTTGTTAGATGGTAGATATTCAGATTATTCATGGACTCAATTTCTAATCCTGCCCAATATTAAACATTATAAAGTGTTCCCTTATTTGTCAAATAGCAAGAAAATGTTATCACTGGGCATGTGATGGGTGTCACTCACCCAAGGAGAACAGGCTGCTGTAGGTCTCCAGCATCACATCTCTGTACAGGATTTTCTGAGCATTGTTCATTTTCTGCCATTCCTCCCATGTAAAGTACACAGCCAGGTCTTCAAATGCTGTCATCACCTATAATAATATACTTCCAGTCAACATGTTAACTCTGTCACAAAATAAACACTGACAGTTGTGTATGGATATGAAGGAAAAAAGGAAGGATATGGTTTCACATTAGACTTGTGGAGTGTTTAGAAAGCCACACGGAGCATTCAACAGAGTCAAACCCATGATCTACTGGCTGTGAGAAATGCCCATGCTGGAGGGAAACAGGAGGTTCAAATCACAAAGGCCACATCTGTCAAGGGGAATTGCACAGCAGGCTAGAAGGGGGGCAATACTGACTCTTGACTGGGCAATGTTAAGGAGAAGTATGTAGAAGCATTGAGAAAAAAGGCAAGAAACCATCAGTGAAACTACGATGGGAATGAACAGAAAACAATTTCCAGGAAAACACCATGCATATCATTTCCAATATGTCAGAGAAAAAATATATTAAAAGACAGGGCAGACATTTAGCTTAGTGTTATTTATGATGCCACCTCAGAGTGTCTGTGATTTCCAATGCCAGCTCTAGTTTCTAGCTCCCAGATAATGCAAACCTGGGGAAGCAATGGTGATGTCACCAATGAAGGAGGCCTAGATTCCATTCCTCAATCCTGGCTTCAGTCCTGCCCCACCTGTTTGGTATGGTTATCTAGGAAGTGAATTAACGTGTCAAAGCTCTCTATCTCTCAGTCCATCAACTTTTTTCTCTATCAAGCTAATAAATATTTTTAAGTAAGAGAGAAAATACAGGTAAGACAAAGAATACAAATTAGCTTTTGCCCTTGTCTATGATTATTCTAGTGATAAACAATTGAAATAACATTATACCTAATTAAAGTGAAAGCAATGGAAATACTTGCCCAAAACATTCAAATGATAAACATTTGAAATGACATTATACATAATTAAGTGAAAGCAATGGAATTATTTGCCCAAAAAGAGAACCTGGGAATGTCTGCAGTACAATCTGCATTTGTGACTCACTGAGAAAAATGCTTAGAGATTTGTTTCAGAACCTGCAATAGTCACCAGAATTGTGATCCAGCAGGCTAAGCCTCCACCATCAATGCTGGCATCCCATGTAAACAGAGGACTTGAGTCCTTGCTATTCCACTTCCAATCTAGTTCCCTGCTAACCTGATTGAAAGAACAGTGAAAATGGCCTGAGTATTTGGACCCTTCCACCAATGTGGGAGACCCATGGAGTCCCAGGCTCCTGGCTTTGGCCTGGCCCAGTCCCAGCCATTGTGGGCATTTGGTGAATGAAACAGTAGATAGAATATATCTCCTTTTGTCTCCCTGTCTCTCCCAATCTCTGCAAGTCCACCTTTCAAATAAATAATCTTAAAAAAATAAATGAGCCTCCAGTAGATTCTTTTCTCCACACATTCCTTATCCTATTCCAGAATCCAATTCAGCTTCTCAAAGGTATTAAGAACTCCATTACTCTAACAATTTGAAAACAAACTTAACTGATTTGTGTTCCAGCACTAGGTAACTCTTCCTCTTGCAGAATGCTAAGTGTTTACTTCATAGGTAGCACTAAAACACTGTTCAGTACATCATCTATGTGTAGAATGTTTCAGACATGACCCCAAAAAGGTAGCATATTGTGCTTAGTTTCAACTCAATTCATGTAACAAATATATATTTTGCTATAGCAACAGAAAGACAAGAGACCAAACTGCATTATTATAGATGACAGTAATGTTTCATAATCATGCCAAATTCATAATTCATTTCTGTATATTCTGTGATAACAAATTTTATGTTTATTTTTCTATTTTAAAATTTTGTAAAGATTTATTTATTTATTTGAAAGCCAGAGATACACAGAGAGAGGAGAGGCAGAGAGAGAGAGAGAGGTCTTCCATCTGCTGGTTCAGTCCCCAGTTGGCTGCAATGGCTGGAACTGTACCAATCTGAAGCCAGGAACTAGGAGCTTCTTCTGGGTCTCCCACATGGGTGCAGGGGCCCAAGGACCTGGGCCATCTTCCACTGCTTTCCCAGGCCATAGTAGAGAGCTGGAGCAGAAGTGGAGCAGCCGGGTCTCAAACCGGTGCCTATATGGGAAGTTGATGCTTTAGACCAGGGCATTAACCCACTGAGCCACAGAGCCAGCCCCATATTTTCCATTTTAATTAACTAGTATACTGGGACTGGCACTGTGGCTAGCAGGTAAAGCCACTACCTTCAGTGCTGGCATCCCATATTGGTGCCAGTTCAAGTCCCAGTGGCTTCACTTCCAATCCAGCTCTATGCTATGGCCTGGGGATTCAGTAGAAGATGGCCTAAGTCCTTGGGCCCCTGAACCTATGTGGGAGACCCAGAAGAAGCTCTTCACTTCTAGCTTTGGACCAGTGCAACTTCGGCCATTGTGGCAAACTGGGGAGTGCACCAGCAGATGGAAGACTCTCTCTCTCCCCCTCTGCCTCTCTGTAACTCTGACTTTCAAATAAATAAAAAAAATCTAAAAAAATAAATAAACTAGCATTAAACACCTAAAATGAGTACTGACAAGCTGGGGAATAATTAAAAAAAAAAAAAACACTTACAGGTGATATATTAATTTTCTTTCCTCTTAGAAACATGTGGAGGACCCAGAATCATACCCGGGAGAGAAGGTGAATGGCAGGAGTTCAAAGAAAACTCGGGAGGCCAACGCTGTGGCATAATGGGTAAAGCTGCTGCCTTCAGTGCCAGCATTCCATATGGGTCCTGGTTCAAGTCCTGCCTGCTCAACATACAATCTAGCTTTCTGCTATGTCCTGAGAAAGCAGTGGAACATGGTCCAAGTCCTGCGGCCACTGCACCTGCATGGGAGACCCAGAAGCTCTTGGGTCTTGGCTTTGGATCGGCTGAGCTCCGGCCTTTGCAGTAATTTGGAGGGTGAGCCAGCAGATAGAAGACTTTCTCTCTCTGCAACTCTTTCAATAAATAAATGAAATCTTAAAAAAAAAAAAAAAACCCTCTGGTTTCCTTCTGCACTGAACAGTGGGGAAAAAAGGATATAATAGAATGAATAAAGAATAATAAATACATTAACCAAGAAAACATCAGCTTCACTGTGGAGGAATAAACCTCTAAAAATAGAAATACATAGGAAAATGCACCCACCTATATTAAGTGGCAGAGATTAAACAGAAGTTATCATTGGTTTAACGAAAGCATTATCTACAAATTTTGTAAAATAATAATGTAAAAGTAAAAAGAAAAGTTGAGTGTTCAAATGAATAAGGTTATCAGAGATAAACATTATGTTGTTATTAAAGTTTATACTAAAGAAAGTTAACAAATACACATAATGTATATTTAATGCAGTGCACTTTACCAGTAATGATTCCAAGTAGCACCTTTCGCTGTATTCATCCCTTCACAAAACCCTGGATTGGGGCTGGCACTGTGGCCTAGTGGGTAAAACTGCCACCTGCAGACTGGCATCCCATATAGGCACTGGTTTGATTCCCAGCTGCCCCACTTCTGATCCAGCTTTCTGCTATGGCCTGGGAAAGCAGTAGAAGATGGCCCAAGTCCTTGGGCCCCTGTACCCATGTGGAAGACCCAGAAGAATCTCCTGGACCCTGGCTTTGGATTGGCACAACTCTGGCCATTGCAGCCAACTGGGGAGTGAACCAGCAGATGGAAGAGCTCTCTATCTCTCTCTGCCTCTCCCTCTCTCTGTGTGTAACTCTTTCAAATGAATAAATAAATCTTTTTGAAAAAGACCATGAATTTCACCATTTCAATTGATTTACCCCATGAGATACCAGTAAATGTGATAGAAATAGACAATTTGTTAAAATATTTATTTATATGAAAGAGTTACACAAAGAGAGAAGGAGAGGCAGAGAAAAGAGAGAGAGAGAGAGAGAGAGAGAGAGAGAGAGAGAGAGAGAGAAGGAGGAGTAAAGAGAGGTCTTCGAACTGCAGGTTCACTCCCCAGATGGCTGCAATGGCTGGAGCTGTGTAGATCCAAAGATATGAACCAGGAGCTTCTTTCAGGTCTCCCACAAGGGAGCAGGGGCCAAAGGACTTGGGCCATCTTCTACTGTTTTCCTGGCTGTAGCAAGAGCTGGATCAGAAGTGGAGCAGCTGAGTCATGAACTGACACCCATATGAGATGCTGGCACTGCAGGCAGGTGTCTTTACTTGCTATGTCACAGAACCAGCCCCAGAAATAGACAATTTGTAAAGTATTTGCCTTCTCAGCTTTTCTTTTTCTGACAGTTATCTTCTGAAAAACCCTGGGGCCTGCCTGTTGAAGAGATAGTATGTAGGCTGGCGCCGTGGCTCACTAGGTTAATCCTCCACCCGTGGCACTGGTATTCCAGGTGACAGTCCCAGTTGGGGTGCTGGTTCTGACCCAGTTGCTCCTATTCCACTCCAGTTCTTGGCTGTGGTCTGGGAAGGCAGTGGAGGATGGCCCAAGTGCTTGGGCCCTGCACCCACATGGGAGACCAGGAGGAAGTGCCTGTCTCCTAGCTTTGGATCAGCACAGCATACTGGCCATAGCAGCCATTTGGGGGGTGAACCAATGGAAGGAAGGCATTTCTCTCTGTCTCTCTCTCTCTAACTCTGCCTGTCAAAAAAAGAAAAAAAGAGATAATATATAGCCAAGATTCACCACAACCCCAGACACTTAAGTGAAGCCTCAATCAGTTCCCCAGATGACTAAACTCTCATTTCTGCTCCTGGACTGATCATAGGAACTGCCCAGCTGAGTACAGCCCATAACTCAGAGTCAGAACTGCAAATCAAATGGCTATTTGTTAAGCCATTGTGTTTTCTGATTTGTCCTACATCAAATGCTGATATATATCAGTAAGTATGGCAGAAAGTTGAATTACATGCAAACTACAATGCATACAACTTCAAAATTTCATTTCGAAGTTCCCATAAAACAGGGCCAGCATTGTCACATAGCAAGTAAACCTGCCGTCTGCAAGACAAGCACCCCATATGAGCACTGGGTCATGTTCTGGCTGTTCTGCTTTTGATCTAGCTTCCTGCTGATGGCCTGAGAA